AGTATATGGAGCTGGCTCAGGTCTGATATCAAGTTATTGTACAGCAACAGTGTAGATTAGAGCTGTGTACTGGCGTAAATCTGGTGGTACCATGCATACCACAATACAGGAATTACAATTCCATATACAGTATATACTGTAATCTAATTTTAGAAAATGAATTTCATTTTTAAAAAAGACATTTTTTATGCAATCAGATCAAGGATCTGCATTGGCATTTGTCACAGCCCCTGTAACATCCAACAACACAGCACTACTTGGCATGTGAACTATTAATTATGAATTGATACTTTACCTTTGAGAATCAATATAGTATCGCAAAATGTAATATCGCAATACTCAAGTGTATCAATATATTTACACCTCTAGTGTAGATCGTAACCAGTCTTGGTTCATGGCTGGTCTTTACTTCAGCCATCCACTGGCTCCAGTGATTTTGTCCCTTGCTCAGTGCAGTGGATGTTGCAACTCGTTTAGGTCTGATATTCTTGGACAACTTGAGCCTTGAAAGTTTTTGTTGTTTGACTCATTGGCTGCTGGCCACAACAAGATAAACCACTCTGCCTCCTATGATCAAGTGGTGACAACATAGCCTGCTACAGTTGTGAATGAAGACCTATTTGTGGGGTTCAGATCTTCAAAAACTAGTATGTGGACCTTTGAGTTTTGATCCTCTTAATGTTTCCAGGGGTCAAAAATGTACAGATAGCTCAGACACTGGTGAACAGACACAAACATGTGATGAAAATGACCAAGCCTGTATATTTAATTATTGTTTTTCCCACATGAACTAGATGTGGTATTGAATCATTCCGGCCCAGCAGACTACACCTACTTCATGAATAAAACTGTTTTGAGCTTTATAGAGAGGCAACTGAAGTGCAGTAAAAGAAACTCCTTTGCTTCTGAGTGTGAATGTGGTGTATGAATGACATGACATGAGGCATGTCTGACACAAGGAAGTCCAGCTTTCACACTCATGCACCCTTGCTAACACTGGGGTGTGACTGCATATTTTCACATGCGAGTATTCCCTGCTGTATTCAAATGCTATCCGGATTATGTGATGGCGCTTCAGGACAGCAAGCGGAGGATGGAAGGATGAAAGTCTGTCAGAGTTGTTTTGCCATTTTGTCTGCAGCTCTCTGCCACTGAAGGTGGTTTCAGAGTCAGCTTAAAGGCATCTGAGAAGTAGACATAACAGGATATACAGAGACAGGAACAGCTGGTACCTAAATAAAACACACTTCCTCAGCCACACAACACAATGGTGATGGCAGCAACCATGACAACAGCAATTAGTGCTCATAAAATGCTAACACCCAAGCTGGTTGTAATTGACACTAATACTGCAACAAAGTCAGGAGTCATGGGCTCGATTCTCTTCCAGATCAATCGTGATACTGTATCTTTGATAAGGTACATCCCAAGTCTCTGAGTTGCATCCACATTTCCCTCACTTGCATCATTTGCTTACATTTTAGTCCCACCCATATAAGATGTGAGAAAGAGACGCAAGGAAAAAATGGGAGGAAAGATAAATTGAAGAAACTCATATTTAGAGACATGAGGGGTTGAATCACCAACTGATTTCTGAAAACAGGATGTGTCAGTCCATAAAAGATCTCTTGTCTCTTGTATCCTTGCTCATGGCTCCTCCAGGCAGCCTCCTCACTACTCGCTCCTCAGCGCATAAATAGGACCTTTGAGGCGTCTTTCAAGATGGCGGACTACAACAACTTCTGGATCGAGTGAGGACTGAGGACCAAGGAACAATGAGCTAAGGAAATTGGGATTTACCCATAGTGCAGTTGATCAGAGGTGTGCCAGATCCTTGATAGTGTGTGTGTTTATGTTCTGTAAATCAAAGACATTTTATTTCATTATCATTTAACATCAATAAAGAAAAGTGTTTAAAGAACAATCTTATGTCCATGTGATTACTATGCTATGTGTCAGTGCAGTGTTCTCTTTCCTTTAATGTTCACTTTTGAACTCTAGCTAGAGTAATCTGATCCCAGCTCAGCCTGCAATGGTTTATTTCATTTCCGCCCTGATTCCCGACATCCCAGTTTCCTAGACCACATCTGGATGTTTTAATAGCAAACTACCCCACCCAACTCTCACAGTGCTGAGATAATCTGTACATTTAATAGCCCATCAGCTGAAAATTCAATTAACGACATTAGGATTTTGATTAATGGCTAGAAGGAATGGCCAGGCTTTTTCTGTGGGATCTGGGTGAAGCAAGAAGCAACACACTGCTGCGTCTACATGGTATTAATACACCTCCTAAGCCCTTTTGAAAGCAAGCCAAATAACTTTATCCAAGAAAATAAACACACTCCATCTATTTAATCATGACATCCCATGTTCTCAAAATAATGATTTTTTTTAGTATTAACATCTGACAAATTTACAGGAGCAATTTTGTTTGTGTGGCATCACAATTTACTAATTTCATTTTTAGTCAACATAATAGCTGCTCATGAAGAAGAAGCTCAGGTTAATTAGTCAGGCATGAGAAACTCACTCCTGAAAAGCTTCTCAGGCCTCTTTAATAAATGAATCAAACACAGTGTGTTTTTTATTACACTGCTAATAAGAGGGATACCAAAGTCAGAAATTTTCAAATACCGCATACATATGACTTTAATTAAAATCAGTACATTTGGAAATTACTCCAGAATAGCTATGGTTGAGCCAATTTCTTATGTTATAAACTATTGGTTTATCTACACAAATGCAGCACATAATTATATGTTCATATGTTAAATCTTAATCTGTAACATAACTGTGAAATAAATGTGGTACAGAAAGAAATGCAGTATTTGCAAGTGTAATGTATAAAAGTGAAGTAGTGCAACAAATAGTGGTGTCCATGCTCTGTAGTAAGAGCCTAATGGATAAAGGTTTACTGTATGATACACATGGAGACCCAATAGTGTAACATTCGACATATTATCAAGCTGTAGCAACAGATTAGATGATAATGCTGCTCTTGGGGCAGGCATGGTATACGCCATGACAATTATCATGTCAACCAAAATGACATTTGATAATGCTGCTCTAGTGCCAGAAATATTGCATTTAAGGTAAAGCTTATCCTAACATCGGCCTATTACATAACACACAGTGCTAATCTTGTAGCAGTGCAAATGTTAATGTATGTTTTGGGCCAGGGATAGTGAGGTAGGAGTTATTCTAGGATTAGTTTATTGTATACAGAGCACTGCTGCTGTATTTACTACATGCATCATAGCTTTACCTTTTTGGACCTAAAGTGCACAGGACATACAGGTACTTCAAGCTTGAGGTCTGGTAATGTACAGTATATGTACTCTGTTATGTCCCACCCACTAGGACTAACACTATATGAGCACTCCTTATATGTAAATGCTAGTGGTTACAAGCATTAGCTAGCCAACCAGGTGACTTCCTTTCATCGAGAGGGACTGTGATGTCACTACATTTCCAGATCTCCCCTATTAACGTGACTGAGTGTGCAATGTTATTATTCCTGTCAAGAATAATGACCAAACTGAAAATAAGGTCCAAGTTACAATAAACTGTAATTATCCTTTAAGATCAGGCCTCAATAAGCTGATTATTATTACTTGCGGTTGACTTATCTCGCCATCATTAACACATGATGCGATATCCACACAGTGCTGTTTCATCCCTGGTTCACAGATGGAGGATGAGAAAGAGGAGGTGTAGCATACAGACAGGGAGTCTGCTGGGCAGTGTAAGATTAAAGGTGATAAACTCCAGGAAACTGCAGACACTCTGGTGACCCCACTGGTAGTCTAGCAACCAGTGTGTGTTGATATCAACAGTGGTCTGACACAAGGCTTGTGCTGAGAGGCTGAGCTCAAAGAGGTGCAAACACATGCTCCTATAAAGCACAGTCACATGGAAAACAGAAAAAAGTCCAACAAACACAGAAGACTTAGATTTCAATTATTTCAAACTTGCAGCCACACACCCAAAAATAAACACACATCATTTACACACACACACACACACACAATGTAGCACTCACCAATCTGAGTAATTTGGTAGATGTGACCAACCCAGCAGTATTTCCTCTTACTGCTGAACTATCAATAACAACTTAAATATATATGACTTTATAATAATGAAGTTTCAATATTGGTCACTAAGGTGTGTTAATGTGTGTTAACAATACAGAGCACTGGCCACAGCAGTAATCGGCACAGTGAACTTCATGTGCACAATGACTTCTGTCCCATAACTCCTTTTTGGAGTAGTTTATACTCAGGCACAGCATAAGAAATTTTATGGTGTAACCACAGTTGCCAGTTGTTTTCAAAGGAAAGTAGCTAAAGCTCAGAAAGTGACTAGATGACAACTGATGTGCGTATTAGTGATGTCACAGAGTAGCTACTCTATTTATGTCTATCCAACATTTTAAAAAACTTAAGGTTTAAAATATTAATTCAACTCCAACTGATCTTAATGTTAGATGTTATTTCATCACAACAATATGTATAAATCTACCTCTAAACCAAGAGCTTTTAAAGATTAGGCTAAATTAAACTTCAAAGTTAACTTACTTTAGCTCATTCATGATTCTTTCTGGCTCTTTATTGTGGACTAAACATGAAAATTTCCATAAATGCCTTAAAGGGTGTTAATTAAGATTGTATTTAACCTTTCTCATTATTAGCACAGTATTTCTAATCCACTACAGTGGCCACTTTAGTGTCTTTTCTATATGTTGAAGTCCACATTTTAATGTTTTTCCCCAAAACACTTCTAAAGGACCACATAAACAGGACAAGTCATCTGTCTAATCTACAAAAAGGCACATACTGGTACTTTTTCCAATTGAACACATTTGCCTACTCATTACATCCCAAAAGATGGTATGTTTCTGCTTTCCAACCAAAATTTCGGTCTTAGACTTTTCTGAGCTTGAGAGCATCGCATGTTGTGGGGTGATAGTGCAAAGCTGAGATGTGGTTGTTACACACCTTTACAGACGAAGCACTTGATGTGGAAGTGTTTGTTCTGAACTCGAAGTGCCTCCCCTTTGCAGGGCTTCCCACAGTTGTGACAGGGGACAGGTCCTCCTCCTCCTCCACCCTGCTTCTGCTTCTGCTTCTGCTGCTCCAAAGGGCTGTGGACAGCCTGCTGCTGAAACACTGCAAGACACAGAGAGACAAGAACTTTGGAACTTCAAGTTTCAAATACCAGCCTTTTACCTTAATAAGTGCATAAATCAGGCTTTTTGTAGTGCCACATTTCATTATCAGGACTGACTGGGGTATCAGCAGAATAAAAAGGCCTTTGTGTTCTGAGGAAACCCTGACGTGGTCAGACCGGTTTCATCAGGCCTCCATGGTTACTGGTAATTGGGCTTAGAAAGGGGAGTTCATTAAATGAATTGATTTAGAGAAAGTGACAGAGAGAAAAGGAAGAGTGGGGATAACAACTGAGAGCCAGAGCTGCTTTTTAGGTTACTGACCAAGGACTTGTTTCTGGTGGATTGTATTCTTCTTTCAGGTTTGCTTAGTTCACTGGGTGTCTTTTGGGTGTTCTGTTGACACAGTGTTAAAGCTAAAATGTTTTTCTCTTTTTTCTCAGCGTCATAATGTGGAATAAGACGGAGCTTGCTTAGCCACGCTGACACTTTTTCTCCCCATAAAGTTAAAGGAATGTGAGGTAGTTGTTGCAATTTAATCAAAGAAAGTCACTTCCAACTGATTCAGACTGCCCAACTGTTCTGAGTCAGTTGGAAGGCTTTTCATGGAAGAGAGACAAAATACATTATTAGTGGGAGGAAGGTGTTATGAGCAGCTAGAATTGAGGCAGGATTTAGTATTGACCAATGAAACCAGCTGCTCCCATCCCCTTTAAAAGCACCGTGGAAACGTAACTGTCACTGATGTCATTATGGCTGATCTGGAGAGACTCCCTCAGAGAATGTTTTCACATGAGGAAACTGATATACTTGTGTGTGAGCTGCAGAGTCACTATGACTGCATCTGCCTCCTTCCCCTACCAGATATGCACTGCATTCCTAAACTGTGATGAAAAAGTATTTATTGTACAAATATTGCACATAAATGTTCGCTCAGTAGTCTGGCTAATATCACTGACCAGCTTTTGTGCATAGAAGACAGAAAGACTCTGGTCTCGTAACCAGCAGTTGCAGCTGCTGCGTCCTATAAGGATGATGCGTCATGATGCATGCCACCCCTGTTTGAGCACATTTATACAGTACTGTGTGTATAAAGTTACATGAGAAACTGTTTATTTATTATTTGACAATAGCCCTTCCAAATGATCGCACCCATTTCATAATTCAGATCATTTCACAAATTATTCACAGTGAATTACAGCAGATCAGTTAAGGGATTATTCAAAGTTAGTGTTTTGGTACCTGTTCTTCTGTTTCCTAACCTAGAAAACTGCCATAAACATGTTTATAACAAAATGTGGTCTGAGCAGGTCTTAATTGTACTGTGCTGCCTAATCAGCATAAACACCGGCCTCAGCTGCTCCTCTCCTCCCAAGTGCATTAATTCATGGCAGGGAAATACCAAACACACCAACACACACAAGAAAAAATAGACTTGTGCCCAGAGCGAATTGCATAAAGACTGCATTTAAAGCTATGCCAGCTTTGCATTGCCAAGAAAATAGAGTCCTGGCTGTTTCTGCATGCAGCAGCATTTATGCTAAGTGAAGCTAACGATGCTTTTACCCCAACTATGTATGAGGATAAGACATGTTTTTGATCTTCTGGTCTCACTTTAAGACAAAAGCAAATATGTTTTTATGCAAGAGTTAATAAGGCATATAGTGTATTTGTTAATGTTGATGCTTTATGTCATATATATTAAAAAAAAGTTCACACATTTTTATGTATGTATATTCTCGGTTAGAAGATTATACTAAAGTTATTAATAATATAAAAACTTGCCTTCCTTTACTTCATCTATTTACATTAGTGCACATTTGAATAAGTAAAACATAGTGTGCATTAAAACACAGAAGCCAGGTGATGGCCAAAAGAAGGGTTTTGAATGTGTAGTACATCAAGATAGTAATGTATAATAATTTTGTAAAATGTAATGCTGCTCTGGTCTTTTTTCTGACATTATGACAAACAGACTTCACATAAAGCATCCTTCACCATTTCTGTTGTGCCCACAAGAAAGCTGGAACTAACAAGATGGGATATGAGCAGAGCTAAGAAATATGTGTAAGTGGCTTTAGATCAGGGAACACAGTGAAAACCAGACAATGTCCCTGGTACTGTATAAAAACTGAAAATGCTAGGAAGCCAGTAAGAGCATTCGGGACACTGGCGTTCTTACTGACTTTTCCACCTCTCTGTAATGCCTCACACTTTGTCTGAAGCACATTAAAAGATGAAGCTTTTGTGTGAGTAGAATCATATAAGTTTGCCCATTGGCAATCTGCCTGGCTTGTGGAATGAGTAGAGCCACCCAGACTACCCAGACCTACAGGAGCAAATCATTCTTCAGCAAGGTTTACTAGGACCTCTCACCCACGGTGGGGAGCAAAGCCATTTTTCAGCTTTATACAGTCTGTATCCTTGTGTCCAAAACAAACAGCATCTCACCAAAGCTCCTTAGATCTCTTCAGGATGATCACCTGCTATTATTTTATTTAATTAGGCCATATTCCAGTGATTCAACAGTGTGATTCCCAATTTTTATTCAAATAGAAAGTGAAAAATGTGTCTCAGTGATCATGATGATACTTAGAATTTCAGATGATGCTAAAATCATGCTAAAAAGATGGGGATTTATTGAAGCTGCCCATGGTGACTGTCCATATGGGCATATTAACCAATAAAGACAAGAATTTGGGAGAGAAAGTCTTGAGTCTTCATAACAAAGGTCTAAGACTGGGTTAATAGCAACCATGTGGAAAGGACAACAGCACTAATCCAAGAAAAGGGTTAGGAGGAGGGTACGCAGCAGGGAACGATGGCCATAGGGGAGTAGAGGTGGGTTCTACCTTTTAATCGGGCCCAGTGTGCACTTGCACCTGTTGGGGGGGGGATCAATGTCTTTACTTCAAACAGTAGGGCAGAAGAGGAGGGCATGGATGAAAAGGAGACAAGAGGTGATGTTCTGGGCCAGATTTAGAATCCAACAAACAGTGGGCCGTGATAAGAGATCAATAATCTGTCAGCGGGGGAGTGTGAAAGGTTTGCTGATTATAACTGATACAGTTAACTGACAAACCGAATAATGAATGGTCTGCTCACTCCATGTTGACCCAGTGCTCTTTCACATACTAGGGGTCTTGTTTCAGGCATTTCAAAAATTCCTCAGTAGTCAGTAACATTATATCCTTTTCCTTTAAGTGTATTGTGCCACTTAGTTGTCAAGAAGTCTGTTTATCCCTGAGTTTTGCTAGCTGGATGGTGCTCATGTTTTCCTGCATTACGTCTGCACATTAGCACATTAGTTTATCATTTTACACAACACTGGTAAAAATGTGTTTCCAAAAATGCACTTGAAGCACATGCTGCCACAAATCGCCTCCATCAGGAACAAATTAATTTCAAAATTGTGAGTGGATAGAAAAGTGTTTTCTTAGGAAATTGAAATAACTCATGTGGCTGCAGGTGATGTAAGGAAACAAGGAAGCAATGAGATTTCTTTCTGTGATGAAGGACAGAGCGACCGTGCTATGCTGAGCAGCATGTAGATTCCTCCCACCTCCTATGTCTCCCCACCCCTGCCAGAGCAAAATTGTCCATATCATCAATCAGCCTTTCTGGTCTCTGGCTAATGGCCACTACTGATGCCACTGCCCTCAAAGGTCAGAGCCAGGCAGGCAGCTATCTGAGCAATGTAACACTACATGTCTGTATAGCATACAGTCACACCATTGAAAGCCTGTGGGAACATATGCTGACCATTGATGGAGTTTGTCAGCTTACCACCTGGATATATATACCACACAACTTCCCAAACATAGGCACAGTGTAGACATGTAGTCTCTGTCTTTGATGCACCATGAAGAAGAATCTATGCATTTATCCACACACAGCTCAAAAACAGATGAGAACACACAACTGCTGAGGGAAATGAAATGCAGGACCTCCCACTGCCAGGTTCACACCAACAGTAGAGAAACAAAATACACATTCTTTAGTTAATGCCGCAACATGAAAATGCAGCAGAACACAAGCAGCTATATCTCAAATGCTGTTTCAAGAAGCAATGCTTTAGCACCTCCTAAAAATAGTGTGTTCCCTCAACTCACGGGGATCCCATGCTGGTCTGCTACATGCCTGGTGTGAACCATCTGCAGAGGCAGGTGGAGCAGACAGAGCATCAAAGTGCTCATGTTACCACAGCAGGGGGCTTGGTGGTGGCCAAGTTCATGACCTTGAGGACTTCCACTTTCTTATGAGTAATGAACATTCTCCAAAAATGTAGATTATGTGTCATTCGTATTTTTGTGGAAAATCCATTACATAGTGGTCATACACAGGCTCCTTTATGAGTTCTGACCTCTGACCTCTCTGGCAAATGACTGCAGTGCACACTTGTTGGCGCCGCACTTATAAAGACAAGGGCACATCATGTAAACAGAAAGGCGTAGTAAATAAACCCAGCTAACTCACTTCCTGAGTGACAGAATTTGGCACACTTTAACCCTGGAAATACATCATCATATACAGCACCATACTAGTAATATTATTTATAATTGCAGCAACCAGGACATAATTAAATCAATCGTAAATCACAGTAGTGACCCAAAGTTAAGCGGAAACACGTGTGCATTCTAATGAATATGTTCGTTGTTTGAAAACATATGATTCCTGTCATTCTTGTGACAGATGAGTGAGTGAATTTTTCCATGTGGATGACAAACACCGCCAACAGACATGAGCCTATGTGTTACTGCAGCTGGCTCTACTGGAACATTTCCATGTAGTTGCCTCAAGACAAAACTATCTCATATCCTCTCTACTATGTCCAAATTCCAGTAGGATCCCACACTATATGAAGTGGGCACACACTGTCAAAATGTCTTCTGATCTTTTGGTCTGGGGCTGTTTCTTATGGTTTGGTCTGGTCCGGAAGACTCTCTCCTGTTTCCACATAACACTAACCCTGTGCACATATATAGCCAGATCCACTAAAAG